TGCTCATCAGTAAGTCTGCTACGATGTGAATTCTTGATGAATACCATCGTTGAAAATGCTGATTCGCAAACATATGTTGTGAATCCCGCGCTCTAAAGGAAGGTCTAAATCAGTTTGGAGCCTTCTTAATTCTTCTTGAAAGCGTGTTTCTTGGTCTTCAATTTTGCAAATTAGAGGATTATTGTAGAGGTCATTTAAAGGTTGAATACAACTAAAGTCCTNAAAGGTTGAAATGTCACAAAGCAAAGCGAGGTCTAACAAAAAATCTGGATTCCTTAAATTCATAACAATTTCTTTTGTTTCCGTCGAAGGATCTTCTGCAAAAAAAATGATAATTTCTTCTCTTAAATTAAAAAGTCTTTCAAGGCATTTTGCCTTACTGAGCCATCTAACCTCAGTATACAATAAAATATCACCAAAGTCGGCATCTATTTCTTCCAAAAACGAACGAAATTTTCGATGAGTTAATGCGTTATGTCCTCCACGAATTCGTTTAATAATTTTAACTGACACTTGCATTGTTTGTCTTATTTTGAAACTTTTTGCTAATAATTGCTGTTGATGCAGCATACAATGAAAAACTGGCACATTAACGCCATTGCGTATGAGCTGACCAACGAAACCTTCCCTTTTTCCAGTCATAACTGGAGCACCGTCTGTGTAAATTGATGACAGTTTATTTTTCTCAGCAAATGAGAACAACTGCTGTTCGACAATTTCATATATATTTTTTCCAGTAGCGTTGTTGTGCAGTCCCCGCAAGCACAGCATATCCTCCTGTATATTAAATTCGTCATCTACAATTCTAATGCAAACAATAAGCTGACTTACATCACAAACATCTGTAATTTCGTCTAATGCAATGGCATAAAATTTAGATTTAATTATATTTCTTTTAAGGTTAAGATATATAAATTTTGAAATATCTTCGATGCGACGAGTAATTGTTCGGCTGGACAAAGGTATATCGTTTACAATTTTCGCCAGCTCTACACCTTTTTGTCCGAAACAACCAAGCACCGCCACCGCTAGCTCTTAAAAAAAAAAAACCATCCTCTAATGGCCTCCCTTTTTTAGCCAAAGCACCGCTTACTACGATTGATGCTTTTAAGCGAGCTTCATTAAAATCGTCATCCGGTACATTTTCTTGTATACTTTCCATATAAGCAAGTTTGGATTCGAAAAATTTTATCATTCGGTCTTCCGGGCTCAAATCATTTACACTCGAGTGGAAAACTAAAAAATGCCGCTTTAAACTCTGCTCTTTAATAAAATTTAGTGCTTTTGAGCAAATCAAGCATTGTGGCTTCTCTGCACTGTTTAAAATAAAAAAAAATTCAATTTCCCACCCAGTCTGAAACATTATAAAAAAATTCATACACATCAATTTTTGCCCACTGTTTCACGCATAAATATGCGGCGTCAACCTACTCGTTTGCAAGCAAACTGACACCCCTATTGCGAGTGTCGACTGGCAGTAGAATAGAAATTTGT